GTTTCCATTTTCTTTTCCATTATCCCTAGATAACCTCAATATACTATAGTAGTTTCCATTTTCTTTTCCATTATCCCTAGATAACCCCAATATACTATAGTAGTTTCCATTTTCTTTTCCATTATCCCTAGACCGTCGCCAAGGAGGCTCCGACATCCAGGCAGTGGGTTGAAAAGCTTAAGGCTTGCATGGGCCGAGAATTTCGCTCAGAAGATCCTAAAAGCTAAGCCCTAAACCCTCAAACCCTAAACCCCTAAACCCCTAAACAAAAACAAACCTAAAGGAGGTTAGCGAGCCAGAAGTGAACCGGCCCACACCATGAGTAGTTGGAATGCCATGCCTTGAAGCCCCGAGTGAGCTCGAAACTCATGTGAGCTACAGTCTAAACTCCTTAAAGGGGGGGGTTATATAGGGGATGATATACTGCACAACTACAGGGTTACTAAGGGCGATACTAGGAGTTTTTACACTATAGCGCATGTGAGCAGCATTTTGATTTGGGGAGACTCTTGTTGTTAGATTATACACTCCCGTTTTGGGTATAGGATTGTAAGAACAAGGTTCTTCTACCTGGTTTAACCACCCAAGAACACAAAATCGCCATATAACCCCCATACAGCCGTTTCCATTTCATTTTTCATCAACATATAGCCCTTATAGGGGTTTATATGGGGATGAGAATATAGGGAACAATTCCCATACCTAAATCCTATATACGCTGCCCATACAGCCCCCAAACCCAAAACTTAGATAAAACCTTAGACCCAAAAGCCACAACCCTAAATCCTAAACCTTTGACCCTAAATAGTAGCTTCCATTTTCGGTTCCACTATCCCTATATAGCCGCATATTCTCAACCCTCCCAAAAAAGAATCATTAATCTGCGCTTGCCAAAACCCTAAACCCAAAAGCCAAACCCCCCCCTCCCTCCAAAAAAAAACAAAACCCATAGGATGCCTAAACACTAAACCCCAAACCCATATGATCCCCAAACCCTAAACCCGTGTAACCCCTAATCTGCGCTTGCCGAGGCCCACCGTCATGCTGTAAGTCCTCGAGTTCGGGCTTAGGCCTGGTGTGGCCCTGCTTACGGTTTATGGTTTGGGGTTTAGGGCTTGGGGTTGGGTTTGGGGTTTAGGG